ACCACGCTAAAGAACTTTCTTTTTCTCAATAATTTTATAATTATATACACGAAATCTCTAAATTGAACGCTTCTAGACAGGATTATTGCGTAAAAAGGATTATGCATCATTCGTGTACATTAGCATACGCAACGTCCACGTACGGAGATACAGCGCGATGAGCATCTCTCTGCAACTGGCTATCTTCCAGCTGTTTCTTCCCGTCGAGGTCGTTCTTCGTCGTTTAATAACGAGAAAGGTCGACGGATGTTTCACCGAATCTACTATTTCCACTTGCCTATTCTTACTCAATCGTTCGATCTTAATCTACCATCCTTCCTAGATAACAAGATCTCTGGGTCCTCGAAGGATATCTGCACGATTGTACGCATCCGTCCTCGAAAACCGACTAATTAACTGCAAACTGCATACTTAAATCTATCCGTCTAGATGTTCAATTAGCATGAACCAACAACGAAAGATAAAATTTGTAATGACCAACTCAGCCAGAGTTACATCTCTTCGGTAACGTTTTCAAATTGGATTTAGCGATGATAGGTGCTAAAAGCAGCCTCGCTTTTTCTTCGGAATCAATCCATTCGCAACATTGTAGTAAAATTTCATCGTGGAAACAGATTAATACAGCGGTTGTTCCTTTATCGCGATTGCGGCACCAAGTTGCGATTGAAATTTCTAACCTTCGCAGGATAATGGATCCTTCGCGGATGTTGGCTGACATTTGCACCGTGATCGCATAAAATGCAACGCGAGCAAGCGTCACGGCCGATGACGAGAAAAGTTTCTGGCGTTCTAGAAAGGTGGATAACGCGGCGGGCGCGGAGGATTAAATGTCAAACGAAACGCGGACCCACCTTCGATCCGAGTTCTTCTTTTTATATATATTCATCCGCGTTGTGCATTCTCTCGATCATCTCGTAGATGACTAATTATACGATTATTCGAAGGAAAGAAGATGTGGTCGAGCGATGGAGGAAAGTTTCGCAAGTATCGCTGCGGTTTTTGGCCAAGTATCTTTTTGTGAGAGAGATACTCGCTGAATTTTCACATCGCGAGGCGGTGGGTGGGTGGCAGGCGGTACGTGGATGTAAAGTTACACCATTCCAGCCTTATTGAATGTTGCAGAAATGTGAGAACTGTATTACCTAGCAGACAACGTAGTCTCATTATCGCTCACAATAAAGCCATCCGCAGGACGCCTGCGAAACGATCACGCTATCGTAATGATCGTGACACTTTGTTCTTGCCACTTTCAAACATCCAACTATCCCGTGGGTAGAAATTTTTCAAATTGTCCTTTCTGTTTCGACGAGCGCATCGCGAAGATAAATTAAATCGTTCGCTAATTTAATCGACGATCAGTGATTATCAAATAAAGAATTTAACAAGCAGACAATTGCAGTGTTTTGCTCGAAAATCACCGAGTGAACGTCTAACGACCTCCCTGCTCCGTATGCGCGAGTATTCAGGCACAATTAACGCCGGCAGCTTGTAATTTTCGTAACCACAAGCTAACCGGTCGTTCAAACACAATTTGGAAACTATAAAACGGTCGTCAACGCGAAGCGAACCGAACGGATCGACTCTAAACGCGTGTCGTAAAACGCGGGATCTTTAATATCGCGGCGGTAACCGCGCGTTCTTGGAACGCAGCCAACGTAATCTCTCGAAATTAAAGAAATAGATCGTTTTCTCGGTACGGATATTACCGTAAATTCGTCACCTTAATGATCTGCAATCACGTACGGTGCGAATAACTAACTCCACGGTCTATAAATTGGATAATTAGGTGCCGTTCGAAAGGCTAACTAGAAGTTTTTCTCGCTAGAAGTAAACGACTAGTTCTAACGAAAGAGGGATAGCGATGCGACCTTTTTTTTTTTTTTTTAAATCACGGGAAATTGATGAAGCGAGAAACGATTGGATCGTTAGCCGAGGGAAGACGCGTTTACTTCCGAAGCAACGAACGTCATCCGGTTGTTCATAAATCACGGGACTTGCGGTTTACTAAGGTAAAGGCGTTCCACGGTAGAAGTTTGCTACGCGAACGAACGGGTTACGAAGTTGAGAGAAGTGAAAGTCATGCGAATGGCAACGAGAGAGAAAAAGCTAGTTGAACGTTGGTAGAAGATAGATCGGCGAATTGCGGTGTGACGGAGAGAGATAGGTATAGAGGGGCCTATGATAAAAGAGCTGGCAAGTGAATGAGTGAAAGTGAGCTGGAATACCAAAGCGGGGCTTTAAAACTGGAACACTACTTGCATAATATCGGACAACTTGAACGGTGTTCAGAAGCGTGCATGTGTTTCGTGGTTAACGCGTGTCCACCGTCTTGCTTTTCTAAACATATTGCATCGAATCGCGGATTATATTTCATATAAAAACTACACAATTTTCCGGTCGTTCGTTTCCAAAATCGTTCCCGTGATTAATAAAGGTCAGTGGACCTCGGGCTAATTAAATACACCTCATTCGCAACTCCGTACCGCACGAAGCAATTACAGAACCACAGTCCCGAATCGTGTCCACGAGAATGCCAAGTTGCATAGCGTAATATCCTAAGTACCAGATTACGAGATTGCAAAATTAAATTCTCTTGGTATTTCCAATTACCAAGAAAAATTTTATAATCTTCTCTTATGTCACTTGGATCGCAAAAAAAGACATCTCGATTCTCTTTTCGAATGACGAGAGAAATTTTTCTTTTCATACAAGCCTTTCTATATTAACAATTCAGAGTATGAAATAAGGGTAATTTGATTAATGGTTCGAATTATCCAGTCGCATTGGTCAGTTCCATTTCGGAATGGTCGTAAGTCCAATTACGCAAAGGAAAGGTGTGTAATTATAGATCGAGTCTCGGTAATCTCCTTGATTTTTGTTGACCTGTCACGAGTAATAAATCTTCCCTTCTTTTCTGAATTCTTTTGTTCGATCCGATTCTAAACGGAAATATGAAAGGTACTTTTGATTCCTCTAAGTGATGGTGCAAAGAGTAAAGAGTTCCCATAACATGCTGAACTTGTATATCAATCTGAAAATGAATTGTAGCATTAGGAAACGGTGAAAATCGTAGGTAATTAACGAAATCGAGCGTGCGTTAGCGTCGATTTCACCAAGGAAGTTCCTCGATCGTTTGCCTCAATTTCGCGATACAATTTCGACTCGTTCGTAATCTATCAGCTGTTCTGTTCGAGTACCAGCGGATTTCTCTTTTCGACACAGCTTCCTCCTTAGACGTCGGATCATTTGAAGTAAGGTTTCGCAATCGCGAGCAAAAAGGGATAGCTCGGTAAACGATACCGATACTCGTGTTGTTCGAACACGTTCGAACAGAGTAACTCGGTTTGTTTTCCAGTTTCATTGCCAGACATCAACCTGGCCAGGTAAGACGGGAACCAAGCGATCGGTTAATTTCGAGGCAATGAGAGGATTAGAAGGCGAACGATTTCGCGCGCGGGCAGCTTTGACGGCGTTCTCGTTGCGAAATATACCGCGTTTCCACGGCGATCTCGTAAATCTTGGAAATTTATACGGCTCGTTTGACACGCTTCCGCCTTCTAACTACGAGGAAAAATAAAATGAACTAGGGCTATCTGAATCTTAAGATTAACCGAGGAAAGGTGGGCTGACCGTTGACGAATCGAGAGGAAAATCGTTTCCGCGTGACCACGGGCTTAGAAACGCAAACTGGCTGGACTCTGTCGAAAGGAGAATCGGGAGAAAAGAATTTTAGGATCGTAAGGTGGACGAGTACATCGACCTTTCTGCGATGGCAAGGTCGCGTGCGATCTGCTGGAAGGTCGAACGAGAGAACGGTACCAGGATGTGTTCGTCCGAATGCTCTTTTTCCTCGTTCCTCCTGAACCATATTCGCCCAAGGTCGACCGTGATCCCGCTCCGGATGTCTCGTCTTTCCTCGATTTCGATTTTTCCCGGCGGCCTTCGTACCGACCAACCGATGCTTTCATCGTCGCCAGGAAGAGCGTTCGTCGCTTATCCTTGTACCGCGACATTATCCTCTTTCGCGTCCCTGATGATTACCTCGAACATACAAACAGGAACAACAATCCTTCGTGCAATTAATCTTTGTTAATTTTTATTCGTTTTCTATCTTTCCTCTTCCAGACACCCGATAGATCGTCACCGCTCCCAAGATACGCATCGTCGACGTTTAAAGAGCCCGTTGAATTGCTTTTTTGGAGATTCAACTCGTAAACAGCACCGTTACTCCGATTATAATACGAGAATAGGTAAAATTTACATACAAGCAGCCAGGGACTGAACATTATTCCACAGGCACACGCGTATTCTCACGTGGAAAGTAAAAGAGGAATGGCGCAAGTCACGTTTCCAACAAATCAATTCGTCGTTCCAGCGGTGCCGCGGTCCCACGATGAAATTGTGCCAGAAAACTTGAAGGTGGGATAATCGAATCCACCGACAGTCGAGACAATGGTAGAACACAGTGTACATATTTTCAACCGTAGAATGGCATTTAGCTGGTGACGTAGCGATCGAATTTAACGATGAAACTTCTGATTTCTGAAAGTTTTCCACTTTCAAAAATATGCAACTTCGAGTAAGCAAATATTCAAAACAATCTTTGAGATCGGACAGCAGGGTGGGTGGGGTCGATTACGAAAATTTGGCGCCAGCCTTTCGTTTCCTCCTTTCGTCTTTGGTCTCGAGGCGCCTTTTTTCTGACCAACTGTTTCAGTGTCTCGACATTATGGCTACGTGAACAGCAAGGTCGGCCAAAAATCCGGTTATGTACGCCCGATTGCATAATCCGCCGTTTTGTATATCGTTCACGTTCCAGCACGCGATAATCTGATCATAAAAGGGTCCCTTCAGTAGTGACAATTATAATTAGCGCGACATGGACGTTCAGGATGAAGGAATTAACCCTTGTTACAATATTTTCTTTTAGAAAATAAAAGAAATTCCGAGTTGATTGGTAGCCTTAGCAAAAATTGAAGGAAATACTTTTCCATTTGCAGGATGCCAAAGGACCATCCCCAGAAGCGCCAGGGCGAGCAGAAACGAAGCAGCTTTGGAGTTCGAGTGCCCTGAAGAGTTCGGTTACTACCCTCATCCCCGTGACTGCACGCAATACTACGTATGCGTATTCGGAGGTGCTCTACTCGAGTCTTGCACGGGTGGTTTGATGTACAGGTAACGATTAAAATTTTTCAATGAAGCGTCGATTCGACCGATTCGACACGATCTCGATACGATCAAAGCGATTCTTTTCGTCGTCGTAATTACCGTCGCGAAACCTTTTCGTTGATAAGTAGATAATTGATCGGAAAAACGGCAGGTGCACGTGCAAAGCACAAAGCGAACCGTAAATTCTCGTAACCCGTTCGACAAATATGGACCGAGATTAATGGGACGGTGAATTGAAACGCGAGCGAATAATACGAGTCGTCTAATCAAAAGCGAAACACGGCTGCGTATTGTCGTCCAGATATAGACAGCAATAATGGATGTATTCTCCCGTATTCGCAGGCCAAATTACAAGATTCCACAGAGATTTCTATTTCTTGTTCGCTAGCCAGAGCCGACAGAATTTTTCTCCGACATGTTTCAGCTATTACGTACACCACGAAACACTCTATATTCCTTGGAATTTCATATATCGCGCTGATATCTAATAGAAATCGAAGGAAAACATTTTATTGAAACCTGTTTTCCGGTTGAAATTCTAGTCAAAAATCTTAACAATGCGTTCACAGTGGGCGAACTGGATAAAACTGGACGTTTATAGCGAAATTTATGAAAGGATATCAAAGTTCACCTTTCCTTCCAATCTTGAAAAATGATTTTTTTTTTTCATCAGCCACCGATGAGACATTCGAATTCCAACGCAAACATTTCGAGTCGCTGGAACCTTGAATACGACAAAAATTTCTCGTCGACTTAGGTTCGGGGGCGTCGTAACACGCGATTACGATACTGCTACACTTTCGATCTGGATTAACGAGGTAAAAGGGGGTCGTAGCCGTGCTCGTGTAACCCTGGAGAAAAAATTATCAGGCTGCCACACCTCTCCGGACAGCGTACGACAGTGCGTACAAACGAGTTCGTTGTAAAACCGGACCCTCGATGACCGGTAACACCCGACTGTCCAATTAAGGACGCTCGTGAACTTACCTCAGGCTCGATACGAAATTCCAAACACCCAATTTTCCAATACCCCGCGCCAAATCGGTATTTGAAAATCCCTCTAACGAATCGGATCACCGATAATAGTGTTATACAAAAGGAATCGGTTACTTTGTTTGGAGAAGGTAGATAAGATCTGTAAATTATGCTCGATTACGTGATCGAGTTTCGAAAATAATCGACGAGCAATAAGCATGAATATCGATGAAATTGACTACTTTACTTGCTTGCTTCTTGTTTCCAGTCATGAATTGCAGACATGCGATTGGCCACGTAACGTGGGCTGCCCCGAAGGTGGATCTCCCGGTAAGGAAAACGAAGAAGATCCGCTGTTGGAACGGTGAGTCTTCGTCATTCATAAGAATTTTCCTATTATTATCATTCGTTTCAATTTTTACCGATTGCTGTTAAATAAACTCGATGGTCGCTCGACTATGATTTAATCTTAACAGCAGGCGTTAATGTTTCAATTAAGCTTTCTTATGTCACTACGTGAAAAAAGAGAAGAAAGAAAAAGTTGTCTAGATTTTAATCAAACAACGTCCATCAAAGTGCTCCAGTTACGTGTTAATTCTCTGTTCGCCAGGGGACAAGCGTGTATCCGAAAGGATTAAACGGAAACGTCGGTGAATTTGTTGTATAACGTGGCTGTAGCCTACAATTGAATTCACTCTCCCACTCTCTCTTTCATTTCTTCGAGGTATATTCAACAGCTGTAAGACACGAGTTCCCTTGTGTAAGAAGTTAAGCAACGATCGTTCGTTGCTGGTCGCTCATTAACTTATTGTGCGCGAACATAATCGGGGAGGGAAAAGAAGTTGTTTCTCAACGTCGGTTCCTTACGTCTGTAAGATGTGTCCTTGCCATTACCGGCAACGTGTTTTCACGAAACTAGTTTACTACCAGATCGATCCTTTCTGTCAACCAATTCGTCCCCTCGAATTGCTCCGCTTCCAAAAACGATACCTTCTTGTTTTATTCAAATAAATGTCTGCTCCAACTTCGCCTACCAGGTGTTCAATTAAGTACTCTTATATAAACACCATCAACGAAATTCTGACGAAGAAAAAAACAATTCTAATAAGAGTGCTTTCCCATCGAAGGAATTCACTGTGATCAAGTTGTTTGGCGTAACAGTTTGCGAAATCTACGGGTCTGAAAAGGTCGACGAAACGACCCATAACACGCGGAAACCGACAATTAATCTATCGCAATCCTTTCTCTGAAATTACTCAGGTCAGCAAAGATAGAAACCCTGCAGGAGCAACAACAGCAGCAGCACCATCATCAGCAACACCAGCAGCAGCAGCAACAAAGACGCGAACAACAGCAGCAAAGACGTGAACAGCAACAGCAGCAACGTCCCGTTCAGAGGCAACCGATTGCGACGACCACGCCAATTCCTGTTCAGCAGATCACTGAAAAACCGATTCGTCAGAGACAACAGGCTAGGAATTACCACGAGGACGAGTACGAGCCTGCAACGGAAATCGAAAGCGACAGGCAACAACGAGTCTACAGGGGTCAACCGTCCACCATTGGTCAAGTGCAACGAGACAGGGATGGTCTTCGAAGAAACGTGATTTCAGTATGTTTCATTGTTGTAATTATTGTTTTACAGTATGTCTGTAATTTATGTTTTATATTATATCACAGGAAAGAGAGAAAGAGAGTCTGGTAAGCACGCGTGCCCAAACGGAAGCTCATTACAGGACGCAGGTACCATCTTCAGAATCACCCAGAGTCGCCAAGATCCTGGCATCCACCGCTGCCCCAGTGATCTCCAAGTCTTATTACAACGATCCGGATCAGAATTATCCCTATTACACGATCTACGACGACGACGTGTCCATTTACAAAGACGATGGTAAGCCTCCATTTACCCGAATTTCGTGTCGCGTTGCACCGGAGGCTCCTTCGGTCTTTACGAAGCAAATCGAAGCGATTAATAGCTCATCACCAGCGACGAGTAATCGATTTCCTTCGCGATTCCTTCGTTAGATTACAATCAATACACCGTGAACCAGTCCGTGCCAGTTCAATCGAGCGTCAAGATCAGCGAGGTGAACGCGAAGCAGTATCAAAAGCCGAAGAAGGTCGCGGTGAACGAAGCGGATAAGTACAATCTGAATCAGGACGTCACGGTTCAGGACTATGATATCTACGAGAATCAGGTAGAACGAAAGTTTCTCTAAAGATAGGTCTCTATTTCTAACGAACACTGTCGATCAATTCTATCCTTTTTCTTCTTTTTTTTTTGTTTCACCAAACCACCCAGGCTCAACTGAACAAGAACAAGTTCCGGATAAACGATGGACAGTCGTACAGGTGAGATACTGTTTCTTTATCAATTGAAACGGATGTCTCAATCACGAGAGGAGAAAGAGACCTTCGCCTGGTCTCCTCGACCGTAAAGCGACAAGAAAATTGCCGTTGTAATCGTTTCAATCATCGCCTTGAGCTTTCATCGATCATTCTTAACTATTCTTGTACATTACGTTTTCGTTTCTGAGAAGTGAAAGATAATGTCAACGTATCTTTGTCGCGTGCGTCGAGAATAATTGTTGCTCGATGTTCTGTCAAATTTGATGCATTAATGAATTAACGAAAAATCATTTCTTCCTAGACCAAACGTTCTCAGCCACCCTGTCGTCCACGTGACGACGCCGAACGCCATCGTGGACACGTTCATTCCGTTGACGACGACCACTCAGACTCCGATCACCACCAGCAGGTCTTACACGGTCAATGCACCCAGGTACGGTATCCACGTACGCGACAGCGGTGATTGTCGTCGGTCAGTTTTTTTTTTTTTTTCAAATTACGCAACCAACTAGCCGGGAGACGCAGTCGCAAAGATCGCCACGCGGCTACCTAAGCTTTGATCGATATTATTCGAGCGAATCGATTTGTAGGGGGAACGCGACTTTATTTCACGCTTTCTTCGAACGCGTTAAAACGCATGAATTCCCCTTCTATCCGCGGCACGCAACTCTACAGGGTGTCCGTTTTAAATAAGTACAGGTGATATAAAAAATTAATTATATGAAAGTTGTATTCAATTTCTCAACCGAGATACGTTCATTGCATAATAATTTAATCACCATAAGTAGATTCGTCATAATAGACACCCTGTAGACGAATACCTGTTCGGTCAGCTGGGGACCAGGTTTCACGTTTGCGATTTGAAAATCGTCACGCTGTTACTCGTCCCGAGTTTCGCGGAGAAGATTAACGCGTTCCCTGTCGCGTGACATTTAAGTTTATGCCAATCGTTTGCCACCGCAGTTCAAAAGTCACGTCGTAAAACTTAATTACTGGAAAATCACGATTATACGGTATTTGTTATACTCGCAAGAATTACGCGATTTCCGGGGTGCCTTGTTTAAACCTCGGGTCATCGAATCTGAACCGATCTGTGAACTTTGCAAAATCGACAACAGTTAACTTTCCAATTGTCTTCGGTCCTCGTCCTCTTTGTTTCGCAACTGAATCTCTCAGTTTCCGCGTCGAAAGAGCAAATGGCCTTGCAAGCGTGTCCATCGACCAAGACCCGATTTCGCTGCTCTCTGTATTCCGTGAAACGAAGCGTTCGCTTTCTCTCCCAACTCCGTTGGACATTTTCCTTTTCCCATTTTTCTCGGTTTTTCCTCTCTTCAATTCTTTTCTGTTTCTTTTCTTGCAGCCGGGGTCGCCCGCAACAGATCCATCGCGGCACAGCACCACCGTAAGTTTGCAACCTTTTTCTTCACCCTTCGCAGCGTTCCAAAAACTACAGATATTTGATTAAAATTGTCGCAGTCGAGATTGCATTTAATACGATCGTGCGAGTCGTTTTCGCGAAGTCTTGTTAGAAAGTCGTACCGCGGTTCGATCGATCTCTTTGCATACGATTAGACGTCCATCACCGTCACTGTATAATTTTCCAATTAACCGGCGAGTGATTGTTAAAACCCTTCATTACGTGCTATCATCATTCAGCATAACGATGAATAGAAAATAGTAACTATAGAGTAATAAAAACAGAAAGAGTATTTCCTTCGATATTCCGGAAACTTATATGTAGATACCATAAATCGGTATTGTTGTACCATGTTTTCCCATCGCATAGCAAATTACTAGCTTGCAATAGCCGTCGATTAACAATTAACACGGAACTTGTATGAAAAGATAAAATGTAGATAGAGGCTGCGTTGGTTGAAAGCGGATATCCGATCTCGAGATCCATCGGTTCGTATTGTCCCTCGCGGAGGTGAACGAACGTATTAATGCGTCTAGAAAGTTAATTGCGTGCAAGTTGCACACATGTCGTTGTTTACTAAATCTGTGTTAAATATTGTTAAACGTTGGTAAGAAAAATTCAACGATTTCCAGCGGTAACTAGTTTCATGGTAAACGCCTGGTAACGATGCATATTTCGGGCTTGCAGGCGATCGAGACCAACCTTGAAGCCGTCCACTGAAATCGTGTCGAAAGCACAGGAGTTCATCGACATCTACAGGTATCCAGCAACGAGGCCGTCGCCGATTTATCCGACTCCGCAGGTCGATAAACCGGCAGCCAAGTGTCGCAAGGACGTTTGCTTGCTTCCTGATTGCAGTTGCGGCGGGATAGACATTCCAGGTAAGTTTGTCGCAATCGTACAGTACTCGAATCGGTTAGTCGATTTACTTCCGAATGGCATCGATCGCTAATTGATTCATCCCGAGGATGAACTTTCGACGTCGGTGCCGTTCGAAAGAACATCCGCGGAACAATCGACGTTGCTTTTATTTTGCGTTCATCAAGAGGGACGTAGACTGGGAAAAGTCGAATGGATATCGTAATGAAAAAAGTGATCAGAAACGCGACACGGCTTGTCTGTTGAATGACGCAAGCGGTTCGTGGCACGAATGTTAAGTTTAGTCGATCGGTTTAGCAGCGACTCGTGACTTTCTCCGATTCTAACGTTACGCATTGCCGTACCTACTATCCGCTGGAAAGTGAAACAGATCCGCTTAGCCGGTTGTGATTTCGCACGCGTTGTTGCTCGAAATCGAAAGCTCTGCCACGCGTGAGGAGAATTCGAACGGTATCGCCGGGCGTTTAACAAACCTTAACGGGTTAAGGCTGCACCCGGGACGGGTCGAATAACGATGATAATATTTTCCACGAGCGAGCTAGCTGTAACGTAAGCGATTAAAACAGCCTAGCCGGCGTCTAGAAAGGATTGTGCAACCGCATACCTCGCGTAAATCATCGCGGAAGAATCTGGCGGAGTCGGGTGTCTCTGCTTGCGTGTCGTTTTTAATTAAGCAATGGATCAAGCTCGTTTCTTGCCCGCCGAGAAGATTCCGCTTTTGAGATAAATCTCGAGCATAGGAGCAACCTTGACGTACGTATTATTGATGTCGTGTATCCAGGTGGAATTCAGGCGGATGAAACGCCGCAAATCGTCCTGCTCACGTTCGACGATGCCGTGAACGATCTGAACAAACCGTTGTACGCTGATCTGTTCGAAAACGGACGTAAGAATCCGAACGGGTGTCCGATCTCGGCTACGTTCTACGTGTCGCACGAGTGGACCGATTATAGCCAGGTGCAAAACCTTTACGCGGACGGCCACGAACTGGCATCGCATACGATCTCGTAAGTTGAAGCGGAGGCAAGCAATCGTTCAGCATCGTGCATCCACACGCTACAATTCGTTCGAATTCCACGAGTATGGTAAAATCTACTCAGGTGTCACGAGTTGTTTTCTCGAGATTAACGGAGACAGATTTTACCGTACTCTGATCATCGAACGTTATCGCCTTCGCCTCTCTTCGACTAACGTTCTCCCTCTGAACGCACAATTTTCGATCTCACTCATGTGGGTACTTCTCGAATTCTCTTCCTCGAGAACGTATCGAGGAACTTTTCGGAATTCGAGAACGCTTCGTTACTTCGACGATCCTGTGGGGCGATTCCTAACTACTTTAACGATTCCTAACTATAGGGCAATTTCTATTCGAGCCAAGATCGTAAACTGGAGCAACGCGTATCTTGATCTAATTGTAAGTAAGAAAAAGCTGAGCTCATTTAAAAGTAAAATCCACCGTTCCGACAGGCTGAAAGCCTGGGAACCAATAAGGATAGAAAGGATAACGATGCTATCCGTGAGATGTCTCGTGTACGCGTAGAACTAACAGAGATCTCTTATTGACGTTTCTCCTCCCGTGTTTCCGGAACAAATTGCTCCGCTTCCGTTTCGGATGGTTGTTCCGGTATGTAGAGCAGGGTATCGATCCGAGGATCGTCGAAGATCGCGATAAGACGTAAATCGCGGTACTAGACTGGTGAAACGGGCGCGATCATAGATGACCCCACAGACAGTTTGTGACACGGGTCGCGAAGCAAGTTTCACCTGGCTCGTACCGCACCTGTGCCGTATACTAATGACTTTCGTACTAACCGCAACATTTCTCTTTTCTCGCTCTTCTCTTCTCTCTCGTTCGCATCACTTCTTCATCCCTCGCATTCCCATCACGCACGACACTTTAACGGCTGTTACACACGCATCTACACACGGACACGACACGATTGCAAATCAACCCCCCGACGTAACAAACACACGTTCCTTTCGATCCGTTCGTCCTTTTCCTTCCTACCTTCCGTTTCGATCCTGAAACAGGTGACTACCTCCCGGAGGAGATACCGCAAATCGTTCTCCTCACATTCGACGATTCCGTGAACGACCTGAACAAGGGTCTCTACGCTGATCTATTCGAGAAGGGACGAAAAAATCCGAACGGCTGTCCCATATCGGCCACCTTCTACGTCTCCCACGAGTGGACCGACTACAGCCAGGTCCAAAATCTCTATGCCGCCGGTCATGAGATTGCCTCCCACACGGTTTCGTAAGTACATCGACAAACAGAACATGGACTAGGATCGAAGTAAAAAGAAACAGCGCGTTTTAATTGGTCACCACTTCTCGTTACATTAATCACGAAATTCATTAATCATCGGGGAATCGCGTCGTTACGGTCATAAGTGGTTCACGCTCTGCCATTAACGCCAGCTTGATTCGCCGTTCGATCGGATCCACCATAGTCGCTTATTTCGGATAGACATTAGTGCTTTTCGCAGATTACCGCGGCTCAGGATGCAAGAACCAGCATCGCGTTGCTGAAACCTGTTCTTATGAAACGACACGGACATTCTGATTGATCGAAGAAGATTCTTGTAATTTTCTCCCGAGTTATTTACGAATACAGTGTCGACAGAGACTGCGTTTAGCCGCTAATGTTCGTAGAAGGTGCATGAATCAGTCGAGCGATCGAAGTTCTTGCATTCTGACCTCGCGATCGCTTCTTTCGCCTGCGAATCGAACGGTCAAATGAAAGAAGACTTTTTGAATATAGGCACAGTTTCGGTGAGCAATTCTCTCAGCGAAAATGGGCGCGAGAAGTTGCCGGACAACGTGAAATCCTCTCGGCCTATGGAGGCGTCAAGTTGGAAGACGTCAGGGGAATGAGGGCTCCCTTCTTATCGGTAACATTTCCTTTCTTCCTCTTTCGCTCTTTGTTATCAAGATTTTGAAAAGCAACACGCTTGATTCTAATTAACAGGTCGGAGGTAACAACATGTTCAAAATGCTGTGGGACACTAATTTCACCTACGACTCTTCGATGCCAATTTATGAAAATCGTCCACCGAGTTGGCCCTACACCCTGGACTACAAGCTCTTCCACGACTGTATGATTCCTCCGTGTCCAACCAGGTCTTATCCAGGCTTGTGGGAAGTTCCTATGGTGATGTGGCAAGACTTGAACGGAGGTAGATGTTCCATGGGAGACGCGTGCAGCAACCCACCCACCGCTGATGGGGTTTACAAGATGCTGATCAAGAACTTTGAAAGACACTACACGACCAACAGGTCTCCTACCCTCTCTCGACTTTGAATCGAACGCGTTCAATTGCAAATTAATAAACGAGTGTATTAATTGTTTAGAGCACCGTTTGGACTGTTCTATCACGCCGCTTGGTTCACTCAACCGCACCATAAGGAGGGCTTCATTTCCTTCTTAGACACCATAGTAGCCATGGACGACGTGTGGATAGTGACGAATTGGCAAGCGATTCAATGGGTCAGGAATCCCACGCCACTGGCTCTGTTGCACACCTTTGAACCGTTCGGGTGTAATTATCAGGTATGCAATCGAGAGAACTTGCGTTAGATTTCCGTAGCACGATCTTTAATCTCGATTCATTGTTCTACGTCTATTAGGATCGGCCAAAGAAATGCAACAACCCGAAAGTATGTAATCTTTGGCACAAGAGCGGCGTGAGATACATGAAGACCTGTCAATCGTGTCCAGACATTTATCCGTGGACTGGTAAGACTGGAATACGAAGCAGTCGTATCGACAACGACGTCGACACGCACGAATGATCGAGAAATATCGACGTTCCGTGCGATCGAGGCCCACCCAGCTATAAAGAAGGAGACGAGACGTTTTCCACAGCGATTCCATTCAAATCCCCGTCGTTATTTCTAGCCACGTCGAACGGAATGTTATCCAGGCCGAGTACGCCAACGAAATCAAACTCGAAATCATCTTCTTCCTTCATTTTTCTACGAAAGTAAACGAGTTGCGAAGGAACGATTTGCCACGTGGTGGGTCATCGAGATCATTTAGCAAGAAACTATCGCTGGATCGGATTCGGAGAATCATTCGCGTTTAAGTAAAAGAAATTTCGTCTGTGAAAAACGTTTGTTGCCCGCTGATTGTATATTATATTAATGTACGTCGGTTAAGGGTTAAACGAACGTGTCGAGGATTCAAGCACCGGGTCAAATGAAATTTCTTTGCCATCGGAAGAAACTGATACTTAGGTGTTGTGATACGATAATGGTTGTTTAAAATTGATCAAACAAGGACGAGCATCGTGTCGTTCGATCCTAGCGAACGTGATGCGAGAATTTTTCATTAAAAAAAAGATGATAAGAAACAAATAAATAATATATAAATCGCGAAAGTGGAGATCGATCGATTCTTTGTACTAAAACTCGAGGAATCGATCCGTCCTTCCTTCTTTTTCTTCCTTCGTTTAGCTCGAAACGCGTATCCTTGGCGTACTCGGTCAAATTCCAAGATAGACGAATTTAATTAAGCATATGAGGTATCATTGTCGTGGGTGTGCAAAAGCATATCGTCGGTCGCGAGAGGTTTCCTACGGTCGATCTGGAGGTTCAGCAACACGAGATACGAACCGAAAGAACCGAGAGTGTTTTATTTAACGAGGCACTATCGTGCACACGAGGGGATCGTCGTGTATACTTCTTAGAACGTGAAACTGTAATACGCCTTTAATCAATAAATATTTCGCTACAATTCCTAATTAACGTTCTTTATGTTACATTAAACGGTCGAGTCCGGGACTGGAAGAGGGAACATTATGGTGGACCAAGCGTTCATGCCAAATTTATGAATCTCTTGCCATCGAATTGCGTCTTCCGCACCCACGTGTTCTACCCAATACTGTGCCATATTGTTGAAATTCGCCTCCTTCCATGTCTGTAACAATACCATTTCTATTGATAGATTCTAAATACTTTCAGCGTGAACCAATTACCCTTTTGTTCTGCTCGATCCAAGCAAGTATCATCTTGTTCCCTTGGGACGTGGCACATTTATGAGCCGTGTGTAAATAATTGTGACAAGGTCCCTTTCGACCCCGCAGAAGCTCCATGTATGCTTGCAGTAAATGCAGAAACGGTTTCACGAATTTCGCGTGATTCGACGATTCTTGAACGATTTTAATTAGCGTCTTTATGTTATGCACTCTGTCGAAGAGATCGCTCGATCTCTTGATGTTGATTCGCCGTTTCAATATTAACATATAACATTCGAGACCCTGCGATGGAAGTAATTTTTTTCTTACTCTAACGATGATAATAATCGAAAAAAGGGCAACTGAATTTACCTTGACACAATTATAAATCTGTGAAAAGTTGTCGTAGTTGATTCCCTCGGTATACTCGTCGACATCTTCCACCAACGCTTCATTCACAACCATGTTCCTATAGACATTATTGAAAGACGTGAACAGGATCATTATACGTCCCAATTACTTACATTCTTAATTGCCAGATGGCCAAACAAGTAACCAGTCGAGAGAAACTCTGAGGATCGCGTAACACGCAGCTTTTGAATTTGGAGGCTAATTAGAAAACGCAACTTAAGCAACCACATTGTAACAGCATTGAAAATTCTTACCATAGGTGCTGAGGTAAAAGTTGAAACAAGATCTGTACGACTTCACGATCATGCCAGCATCCAAGATACATTCCAAACAAAGAGCATGGTACCAAGTGATGGCAGAATAATCCGTGTCCTCCTTGGACGAAGCGTAGAGTTCCTGTAATAAATCTGCTGCCTCGTTTAGATGTTTAGTCCAAATCTAAAAAAGATCATAAAATTAGAGGACGATTGATGAGGTAATTGCTGATGAATTACCGTAAGTTCTATCAATAATGGCAGTACATCGAGCTTGATTTTGGTAATGTGTAAAGCGTTGCATATCTTCAGTATTTTAATACCGATCTCTATACCCTCGGACAGCTTTCCCTGTAAGATTCTAGCAACAAGCAAATTACTGACACTCTTCAAATTTCATATAAACTCATTGACATTGAACGACGATACCTGGAGTTGAACATAGTCTGAAACACTGTAGCAGCGACGACGATCGCTTCTGGAGACTTCCAATGAGACTGCTCGTCTATGAGAGTGACCATCAGCTTCTCCAGTGGCTCGATGAACTCGTTACCTTCAAATTTCTGAAATATCTCCAAGGCTGTCAAGTATATTCTTCCCTTTTCCACGAAACCACCTACGCATTCGAATGCAGCTCTAATGCTCTGCAAAATGGTCAGCTTCGCTATCTTAGCTTGATTCTGCAACTGAAGTTAACTCTGTCCGATGAGAAATCGTAAAAATTGTACGCGAACTGTACAGACCATGTAAATGGTTGCCAATCGATGCAAATACACAGCGACTTGAAAATTATAAACTGCCTGCACGCCGGTGATTTTGTTCACATTGTAATTAGGAAAACCTCGCATCCGATGTTTCAATGACTCGACGATCGATCTGTAGCAGACCGCTTTGGCAGTATGCAGCAATTCGGTTCGCATCGATACCGCCTCGATGTAAAATTTACTTGCCTGAGAATAATTTCCATACGCCACGTATGCGTCACCTGCATTCATTCAAGGAATGTTAATAAAGAAGAAACTGTGATAAAAGAAGAACAGTGTACCCATCAGAATCAAGGTTTTCCCTTTATCGGAATCGGAATCAGGAGCTTCGAGAGCCACGTGTTCTTTTATCTTCAATACTTCGAGGTGGGTAATAGCGACTGCAAGAAATTTCGTCGCAAACAACGGCTGAGCAGTTTGGATCAAAGCAGCAGTATACTCTATCATCAACTTCATCAATTTTTCAAAGTCTTCTGCAGACGAATAAAGTAACGAATGTGGCAATTGACGATTATTCTAATGATTTTCTTGGAATACGGCTATTGAAACTTTACTGGAACGCTCGATGTGATGACGGAGTTTCCAAAAAACATAGCTGGTCACTTCGTTACACCGACAATTTCTGTAATTGATGTAGGAGAACTCTTTCAGACGACTATCCCACAAATCGTCAACAGCTGTCCCCGAACTAGAGACGGCCCCTCGTTTCTGCTTTCTCGTGTAGTCGGTCGTGTACCCTTCTTTTCCGGGTTCCGAGCTCACGCCTGAGTCTAATAAATGGATGAAATTAAAATTCTAATTAACGCAGAGCTGTGTTGGTAGGCGAAGTTACCATCGTCATCGAGTTCTATGTGGACGGGCAGAACAGAAATTCTTCGAATGTTAACGTCCTTTTTCTTATCACCTCCGTTGTTCTCCGCTACGAATATGCTTCGTCTCGATTCCATCCCGACCCTGTCGGGCCGATTCCACGAGGTTACTTTTCTGTGCAACAATTCACTGTTCCTCGAAAATCCGTTCGTGCTCTGAGAAGAAGGGAAACGTTCGAAAGCTGCCAGAAAGAATAATAGTAACACTGGTACTTTCGATACCTCCGCCGAGAAAAGGTTTACAAAGCTACCGCCGCCGCATGTGCTGCACCTTTGAGCCTCTCGCTCGAAGAAAGTCACAGCTTTCGAGTGATAGTCCTCCTTCTCGTGCGGTGCCAATATATCGTACAATAGCTTCCGATAAGAGCGTCTCGTGAACTCTAGTATCTTACAATAGGCGTAGTGTGGCAAGGTTTTATCCATGAAGATACCTGCTCATAGAGATTCTAATAAAATCGACTGCGGTTTCGAATGAGAATTCTCATTAACTAACGCGATGACTGGCAGTCACAGGTGACCAAATGATGCATATTACTGAAAGTTTTTCGTTTTTTGAATAAATAATACACCGAGTCGTCTGCGTGAAAATACTTCCTCTGAATCATAGCGCACTGGAGGATCCTCAGCCTTATCATCTCTGCCACGGCTATGTATAAAATCCACACGATAATCGTACAAATTTCTTCGAGTATTAATTATTTATACCTTCCTTTTTTCGTGTACAATGGCGAGGAATTGACCATCGCGTTTTCCACCACGTGACGCATGAATACAGTGCCCATTGCTGATGCACACTTGATGAAGTCTTGCTCGTAAGAGTTCATTCTATTGTATATATCGATCCTCAGACCTGACGGTAATAAATTATCAGTGGAAATTAATTTTAACCCTCGATTTAATAAACACCTGTAACGTCGCGATTCGATGCTATGAATCCAGTTGGTCTGTCCGATGTCACACAGATGTTCAAAGAGCTCATTTGCGACCAGTGCAAGGGTGGTGCTAATTCTTCGGGCGTCAGATACGCTGGTATCTTCACCAATAACGAATTATCAGGGAAAACGAGGTCGTATTGACTCACTGCCGTTGGAGAAATGCTGATAAAATTCAGAGCTCGAACTTGTATAGTGGACATCAGGAAAGCTTCGCACCAGCTGATCGCAGTCTTGCCACGTTTTTTAAGAACTCTAAATCAATCGTGATGTCATTAATAAATTATATTGCAAATGATAAAGGATAGACGAGATTCTATACTTCTCAAGACTTTTAGGAATCGCTTGAACATTCAAGAACTGACAAGCGAAGGCTGCGATGTATTTCGAATCCAGCCCCGTCAGGGTTCTGCTCATCAGCCTTTTATCTTGGCAAATACCAGCTTCGATCTGGGTCAAATTATCCCATGAAATTGGTTCCACTAATGTCACCACTAGAACCACGTTTACGTTGCTTAAAGCAACCGCGAAGAACTGCCAGGATAAGAGATCCATGAATTGTACATCGTCCAGGAGAATACACACTCGTCCACTGATCTGAATGATTAAAATTAAGTAAAACGAAGCTATCGTTGAATTCGAGTGTGATATAAACCTTGTGTAATATATGCTCGAAGATTTCGATGGTTTTCGTATGACGTTTCCAATCGGTATCCTCGCAATAACCTTTCGAAAGGGGAAAGCAAACTCGCATGATGCAGTTTAAATAGCAGAAATCATCTGGCTCCAAAATATCGGCCAAATGAGCCGATACAGCCTTTTCACGGTCGTAGATCGTGTGACAGTTTGTTGCATCGAACAACTAAACAATGGAACGATTCATGTTTCTTGATGATTCTTAAAAAATTCAGTACTTCCTTACTTGAATAAAGACATGGTAAAGCACCGCATACGCTTTCTCGTTATGAGACGGGTGCAGAGCAAGCTGAATGACTTTAATTTGTCTATTTCGAACGATAGTAATAAATGCGTCGAGCAATCTCGATTTTCCAGACCTTTCAGGACCCTATAAATATTGTACTCTAAGGGTAATCGTAATTATTCATTTCTCGATGATCGTATTTTAATTAATACCTCGATAAGCATTCCTGAGTAGCTTCTTCCTACTACACCAATCTCGTCCAAGATATCTTTGAAGTATTCCAGTTCCTGAAACCGATCCAGAATAGGGTAGCAATACTCTAAATTCGACATAGTTTCTTCTTCTCTAAAAGAAACAGGTTTCATTAAAAATATTCAAGCCGGAAACAGATGTACGAAAGCATTATATTACGATGGTGAATTGATAAAGTCATAGACAAAACATTTTCCAAATCTTCTTAACGTTTTTATTCCACGAGAACGAAATTTGTGTTTGCTTAGCAAACTGTCCGAGTAAGCCTCGTAGTCGCAGGATACCTGAAATCATATTTATCTATTAATAAATTGGTAATCGTTAAAGATCATAGTGCAAACCTTGTCGTGTGAAATCAGCATTAAAGAAATGGCTTTATCTACTGGGGTACCAAAAATCATGTACTGCCTTCTAACAGTGTGACCGATTACCCCGCAAAATGCCATACCTATTGCAAATAAATTCAAAATTTATTAAGTTTTTATCGGTTAACAATGATAGGGGAATTACCACTGGACAGGCCAATCGAGACACCTTTGACCCCACCAAGAGACTTTATGTCGTTCATTATTTGCCAGGCAGAAAAGATCGCATTTTTCGCGTTAGACTCGTCATCCTCCTCGTTACGATATTCGCTTACCCCATACGATAAACTAAATAATACGTCTTTGTCGAATAAATTTATCATGTTGATGCATCCAGAATAGTGTTCAATTATGCTGCGATAAAATATGATAATCATCAGGATGTTTCCAACTCGATAGCATAACTAAAAAGAGGGTAAATGAAATAGTAATCTGGAGTGAAATTTTCATATTTGAAAAGAAAACCCGCTTCGGTAAAAATCATTTTTGCGACATCTGATGGCCGAACCCGGAAGCTATTTTAGCGCAAAAAACGGTAGATGGCGCCACTTATCTACGGAGGTTTATCAATTCAAATTCAAAAATCACGAATTCTTTAACATCGATTTATTCAGAAACTAATCGTTCTACGAAAAAATGTTGCTCTACATTTTTTACGGGTACCAACTTAATAAATATACCTGTACCTTTGAATAGTCTTAAAAGCTTCGTCAACCAGAGATATCAATTCATAAATAGAACACTTGCCTGGAACGATATTAACACTCACCACAGTGACGTTTCTCACTTCGGTAAGGTATTCTAAAGGCTCCTCATTATCAATCTGAGGAAGAAATTCTTGAAAATATGCTCTAAAGAATGAAATATTCATTAACGTACCTCCTTTAAAACTGGTTTTAACATGTAGGTCTTTAAGACATTACCGAGACGTCGTCTATACGCGTCGATTACAGACACCCTCGCTATACAGATCAAGCAATTTTAATTACTTTTACGTGTCATTATTACAAGATCGAAGTATTCACCTCTAAAGGGCATCTCGTTCATTTCAGTGTACATAGACGGCTCTGAGATAGTTTCCGTTACCTCAGTAGTAACAGTAGACCGTCGTCGATGTAGGCTTGGAAGTTCTACATTTAGTGTAGTAGAGTGTTTCGGAGGTTCCACGGGTGGTCCAAGTACTTTGATAATCTATCAAATAGGATAATTATTTCGATCCTTGCTTCTCCTACATTCCCTAAAGGGATACGATTCACGACACCTTGACATTGCTCGAGTCCTTGATGACATACTCGTATTGAGTAGGCGCGCAATACTCCCAAGCACTCGTGGATAATACAAGATCACCAGGTAGACAAATTCTCCTGGCAAGTTTCAGTTCTTCGATCGGAGAACCTGCTATTATGTACTGTCTAGCAGAATCACATCCGATTACGGAAAATATCACTTCACCAGTTGCTACTACAACGTCCACTAGGAAATTTGATACAAATCAATCGTTTATAATTTCACTACATCTGATTAATTTTAATTCATTGTACCTTTGGGTGCAAAGATGCTGTTCTTAACAATTCCAACTGCATCTTGAATCTTCTGTCCACATAATATCACGTTGTACACCATTCTTGAGATAAATTCGTTCCTGCTTACCTTCCATACGACTAACAATCCATCTTCTATCACGATTAAAATGTTTCCTTTTACAATTGATTTCTTTTTATCAGAGAATTCAACAACTTACGAGAAAATTTCACCACATCACCCATGCTAGTATATACTTCTTCTATCATAACACCCATATAACGATTAAGTAATTCGAATAAGGCATAACTACCACCGTTATGCGCGCTCGCAAATTTCTCGTAACCATTAAAAAGACGAGTAACGTCAATTAACGCTATTACCGATTTGAATTTTCGAAAACTCTTTTTAGATAAATCAGTTTCGTATATCAGTTCATCGGCTACGAAAGTAGCCATCATTCGGGTGCACATGTCGTCACGATGAGCGTTCAGTGCCTGAATATTTTAATTATCCATTAGATTAACTAAGGAAATGAGAAATTCTTAACAAATTCGAGAAGAATAACCTCTCTCAATGTGACATTCTGACGGTGTTTGAATATCGGACCAATTATGTCTGGAGTCCACGCAACTTTCTGTTCTTCTTCTGAATCCATTTGGATATCTATCAAATATGTTAAATTAAATTCCTTCTACTTTCGCTTGGATCTATTTTTTTATTAGTATTGACTGAAGGTTGCATCGTTTGACCATGGAATCTTATATGCAGGGTGGGAGATTTTTTAAGGGGCGATTCTAGGGACCAAAATAAAACGAAAATCAAGAATGACGAAATAGCGTTTGCAGCTTTGTTTTCCAGTAAAGAGCGCCTGAAACCTGCAACCTGCCCAGCACCGACGAACGTCAGGTCAGCAGGGGTGAGTGCAGTTATAACGGGGCAGTTATTAGGCACTTTTTACTCGAATTTTTAAACGTTAATTTCTTCTCTTTCTGTTTTATCCGTACAGATCATATTTACTTATGCGAGGGACGAGCGGAGCGCCGGTGACGCACTTTCGATACCGGCTTGATATCATCTTGGGGTGTTAGGAACCCCAAAGCACTTTTTGCATACCAACATTATGGTATCTGGGGTATCGGGGGCCCCGATGCGTCGGTGGCGCCCTCTATATACCGACCTGGTAGCATCTTGGGGTGTTAAAGACCCCGAAACACCCTGCATGCCGACATAATGACATTCGGGGTACCGGGGACCCCGATGCATTAATGGCGCTCTCTGCATATCAATCTGAAACCATCTTGGGGTGTTAGGAACCCCAAAGCACTTTTGCATACCGACATTATGGTATCTGGGGTACTGGGGACCCCGACGCATCAATGGCGCCTACTGTATACCAACCCGATGTCATCTTGGGGTGTTAGGGACCCCGAAACACTCTGCATACCGACATAATGACATTCGGGGTACCGGGGACCCCGATGCATTAATGGCGCTCTCTGCATATCAATCTGAAACCATCTTGGGGTATTAGGAACCCCAAAGCACTTTTGCATACCGACATTGTGGCGTCCGGGGTACTGGGGACCCCGACGCATCAATGGCGCCTACTGTATACCAACCCGATGTCATCCTGGGGTGTTAGGGACCCCGAAACATTCTGCACACCGACAATATGAAATTCGGGGTCCCCAGTACCCCGATGCATTAATGGCGCTCTCTGTATACCAATCTGAAACCATTTTGGGGTGTTAGGAACCCCAAAGCACTTCTTGCATACCGTCATTATCGCATCAGGGGTACTGAGGACCCCGATGCATCAATGGCGCCTACTGTATACTGCCCGGATGTCATCCTGGGGTGTCTGGGACCCCGTAGGTAAATTGTCGAGTAGTTTCCACCGTTTCTGTATAGATGGCGCTAAGATCAAATTTTAAATATACTTAATTTATGGCGGTCTTTTTACAATACAAGTTTGTCAAACATTTATTTTGTTAGTTCTTCGGTTTCATTAATTAACCGTTCATTTCGATTCGATTGTTAATAGATGATTTTTAATTAAACTTACCCTTTGAAACAGTTATATTTTTAGCTAAAGTTCTGAAGGTGGAGGGAAGGAATAAATGAACACAGTTAATTTACATAAATAATTTATGTATTTCATGATTACACGTTAGAAGGAGGAATGTCGGAACATTATTATTACTTAAATTAAACTATGCTACAGTTATTAGGAACCAGATTTCTTGGTCGATTCGCCACGATAGTCGAAAGCAAACGTAAGAACAAATTATTTTCGTGTCGTTTTATCCACATCGTGTTTGAAGTTTCATCGTGCTTCGTGTTCGCAATACTTTTTTCTTTCAAACAACAGACACTGAAAACGGAAATGAACGTACTTTCTCGTGAGAATCAAAAGATATACGTCACAAATTTATCAAATGAAAATGAAAAAAAAATAGAGAACAATTGAGAACAAAAAAATAAAATATCCTGTCGTATTGCGAAACAAGTTACGACCCCAATACATTTAGTGAACAAACGAAACTCAGACTTTTCATCTCAGTCTTATATAGATTTTTCCCTCGCTGATAAAGTGGATTTATTTAATTTTTTTTTTTCATTTGTGAAAAAGAACAACGCCTCACACTCGTTTCATACATTATTGGTCAGGGAAATATTGAACGAAAATAAACAGAAAATAAATTGTGATCCTTTGTAATCCTACTCTATCTTCATGAATCCTTTTTTTCTCGTATTAAAAAATATAGACTTTACATAAATCGTCTCTTGTTCGAAAAATGGAAAATGAGTGTTTCCCTTCGTTCGATTAAAAAAAGGCATAAGTTCTTCTTGCTGAAAGGGACTTTGGGAAATTGAAAACGGTGAACCAAATAAGATTCCGTCGAGTCAATGTTAAAGGAGTCGCGTTAAAAGAAAAAAAGAAAAATGAAAGATAATCGTAATTAGTATTGATATCATATATTCAACATGTTACTAAACGTCGTCATTATTCCTATTCGAATTAAAAACGAAAAAAAAAAAATAAATTTTGCAAGAAAGGAACATCGATGGTCGATTATTAACATTGGCCACACTTCTCGTCACCGCGTTCTTGAAAAAAAGAAAAAAATAAACGTAAAATTATAAAAAAAACGAAATCGTCTCGCGTATTTTGTAAAACAAACTTCGAAGTAAATCAACATAAAAGAAAAAAGGAAAAAATAAACGAAAACTGGAAAAGAAAATATTAAGAAGGTAGTCAATTCGAAAAAATTTATAATAAGAACGTGTTGAAGTTAAGGCCTCTTGGTAAAAAATCGACAATTTTGCCTTTTTGTTATACGAACGAAGGGAAACATGGTCCTCGAAAACGTGTTGGTGCACTATGAAAGTATATCTTGGAATATTCGTGCTTTTAGACACAACAGCCAACCCTTTTGTTAGATGTTTCCTTATCTTTTCTTTTTTATTTTTTCATTGCACACCGAGCACCACCGACACTCACAGCGCCCAACCCGGTGTTTTTTGACTAGAATCGAGAATTTTTCTTCGCAAGTTCCACTTCGATCCCCTCGTTATTTCCATCAAGTAATCTTCAACCTCTCGTCCCTCTTAATTAATCATCACCATTTCTCACATTTACATCAGCTTTTAATTGACGCGTTTAATTTACTTCAATGAACTTAATTAAATCTCGAACGAATACATGCCAGAACGAGAATCTTCGATTAAAGAAAAATAATAAAGAATTTCATTCGGAGCTAAGTGAAATATCAGTCTCTTTGTTGATTTATAATATATGCATCTATATATGTACGCTTATATATAGAAAAATGTTATAAAAAAGCAGTGGAAAAATATTCACCGTAGCGAATGATTTCACTCAGCTCTGAAATTACATTTTTTTCAACCCTTTCGCTACGAGTTAACAAAATACCAAAACGAGAAAACTTCATCAATCACGATTTTCTCAATTTTTAAGGGGTGATCACAATCACCCTTGGTAGCGAAAGGGTTAAAATTAATATTTCGCTGTACAGTTTCAATTCTCTTGTTCCAGCAAAGCTGCCTTAGCGAATAGCTACTCTAATTTTTTGGACGTTCGGTCAAGATTCTCGGAAAATCACATATCCTTAACATAAAGAATATTTGTCTCTATGAAAATATAATATATATGTATATATATAATATTCAGTTTTCTATGCACGCTTACTAACAATTTGTACACGTGATTGAGGTATATATCCACGACCGTCTCAGAAAAAAAAAAAATATCCGAGTCGTCGTTTGAGCGACATCCACCATTTCCTGCCCAGTAAGTAAACGTTCCTTAAAGTCTTGAAAGGATCGCCACCTTGGAGCACACTTTAATGGCACATATTAATCCACGTTTTTCTTCTTTCAAAATTACCACGAATTTCTACGAGTGCTTTGACCTGGCGATGTGCAAGAAGAAGGACACCTTGTCGGTGCACTGATGGCCGCACATGTTGCAAGTGTAAGGATCCTTGTAACCATGGTATCCCATGTGTACGGTGTACATCACTACGTTACCGAACGCGATCTCGCAGTATTGGCAAGTGAACTCGTTACCAAGGGTGCTGCTTCGTTCGTTGGTCTCCTTATCGTCGCGGGTGACGGGACTAGCGGGGACCGCGGACTCGTACATCTCTTCCGGTTCTCCAGGAAGGTGTTCGTCGTCCGTGTCCTCTTCGACCACCCGGCGTTCCAGCTTCACGGCTCTTCCTTTGCGTCTGCTGGTCCCTGTCAGCTTCGACGCGTTGGTCGTTGGTCTGCTCTGGACGTTGCTAGGGACGTTGGGTTTGCTGAGGTCCAACGGCGTCACTTTCGAGTCCTTGCGCTGTTCCTGGTTCTCCATGGTAGGAATCGGGGCGTCGTTTATTTTAGCGAGGTCGTTGTTAATCAAATCGTTGGATTCGTCGCAGGTCCTGATCGAATCGAAACACTTCACCTCTAGATCCTGCGGTATCTCCTCGGGAATGCTGGTGTCGGGATCGATCACCTTGGCGTAATCCATCAAGGCGTGCGATCTGATCCTGTCCAATTGCTTTTCGACGCTGTTCTCTTCGAACGCGACTGGTATGGCGGTGGCCAATGGAAATCCAGCGAATATTTGATTGTACGAGAATGCCATCAGCGACGGGTTTGGAACCGCCCCGTTCAAACCGTTCGGGGTGTTCGCACCGTTCAAGCTGTTCACCGAGTTCATCGACACGCGATAGTTGACCGGTGACATCTGGGATGGAACTACGATCTGGGAGGACGACAGTGAAATCTGCAAGTTATTGTTGGTGGGAACAACGTTGCCGGTTTGGCTGCTGTCTTCCTGGGGTATCTTCACCGACTTCGGCTTCGGTCCCCGTCTAGTTCCATAGACGTCTATGATGGGCAACGGGTTCGGTGAACCATCCGCGTTCAACACCATCGCCGGTTGATGAGAATACTTCCTCAGGTGAAGCTTCAACGAGTGACAGTACTTGGTAGCGTACGAACAATTTGCGCATCTGTATTGATAAACGTTCGAATGCGACTTCAAGTGGCTGTTCAACATCGACTTGTTGACACACGAGTACGAACACTTGTCGCACTTGAACGGTTTTGACCCGGCGTGGTTCCTCATATGGTACTCTAGATGATGCTTGTACTCGGTCACGAAAGGGCACCTCGTACAGGTCAACAGTTTCTCGGCCTTGATGTGACCGCGACTGTGCTCCCAGAACTCGAGTTTAGTGATCGCGGTAAAGTCGCACTGTTTGCATCTGAACGTCTTCACTTTACCCTGGGAATTCAACCGGGGAACTCGGAGTCCCGGCTCGTCCGTTTCCTCTAGCTCCTCCATCTGCTTCGATCGTTCGCCCTGTGGTGGCGTCGACCTGTTCTCGTCCTGGATTGATCCCGACGTTGACAACTGGCCGAGGATCGTCTTTACAAAATCTGTCGTCTCGCATTTGATCGTGCAATGCGTCCTTAGATGATCGGTGAACGCTAACCTACGGTAGAGAACGGAAGAGAGTAGAAAATTAAGCATAAAAATTCTTCTACTCGTTCTTCTTTCGAAACTCACCTATTCAAGGTGGTAAACGCGCAAATGGGACACTGCAGGGTGTCCTGAACGAACTCGACGTCTTCGTTGGACGGTTTCACCGTGCTGGAAGCGACGTCCATCGCCTGGTCCGACTGATGCTCGTTCATCGAGTGATGTCTGTTATATTCGAGCGGTGAACCGCAGTTCTTGAACATCCTTTGCGGACTGTAATCGAACGCGCTGCATTGCATGGTGCTCGAATCTTGAGAAGTAGCGCTTCCGGGCGACAAACTGCAGTTCGCCGTTGAAGAGGATCTTCTGCTTCTGGGCGAGGCAGAGTTGCTGGTGTAATAATCAGGTGACACGCCTGAATCGTTGTTCTTGTCCTCTGACGGTTCCTCCTTCTGCAAATCAAGGATATGTACCTTTTTGGAAATCGAGCGAGTTGAAAATAAGATCGAGACGAGCAGAAGAATCTCCGAATAGTAACTTGGTCCATGAAACGACATTTTGTCGATGGCGGAAAAGGGATGAAACGATGAAAGAAATAAAGAAGGGTGTTGTGCAGGGGATGAAAAAACGAGGATACAGTAGGAGGGTGAGGGTGGAGTAGGGATGGGTAAAGAACGACGAGAGGGTGAATAAGTTAAAAGAAAGAGAGAGAAGCGTCGATCGAGGAGGGGTTGAAACGATTACTCACCACGATTCTATCGGGTATACCCCAAGCGGGCGTGGTTGGTGAATGGAGGGGATGTCTTTGCTCTTCGACTATGGTTTGTTGCTGTTGTTGCCGTTGCTGATTCGGCGCGTGTACCAAAGGTTCCGCCGTGTCCCAGTTCCCTCTCATCTTGTCACTCTATTTGCAAAAGATAGACAGAAAATTATGAGATTGCAATTCTTTAAAAAAAGAAAAAATGCGGATACACCTTTTTTCTAAATGCATCTCCATGTTGTTGGTAGCAGATGGAAAAATTCAGATTGAAAAATCGTCGCAAGTTTTTCAAAAGGAATAAAGAAACAGGTGAAAACTTTCAATCGATCTTTCTCGACAATACAAGGTCGAAAAGGGTTAAGGATTCAGGGTGATTGTGCGAATTTCCACGAACAAGGGTTCGACCACGACAAAGCGAAAATCGTTTCACAATGTTTCCCTGTAGTCGTGCAGTTCGCTTCTTCGACGTGTATACACAAAATGGTCAGGCTAATTTATTCCAAGTTCTGACAACGAACTACGTACATAATATAATTGTTCCGATCGAAAAGGTGTCCTTCGTTACCGTCAATATTTATATCAAACCGCCAATCACCGTTAACTATACTGAAAAACGATCGATTTCGGTGATTTTCTGTTTGCTTTGAATTTCTTTCCAGCCACGTTCAACGATTGTTCGTAATTAATTGAAATAAAATCCCGTCGTTTCTAGAGTTATTCAACAATTATTGCTGGAACTTCCGAGAAGTCCGAGTAATTAAGCAATAAAATGATTTGAAATTACGATCCATCGAGAGAAAGGAGGAAAATTTATTGTTCTAACTGCTGGTTGGAAAGAGGAATGGTTCCGGGGCAGGGTTAAGGTCTATGCTCGTTTATTCAAGTAGAGCACGCTTTTGAAGGCCTCCTGACAGGGTTTACGAAGATTCCGCTTTTGACTTCTGAGGAATAATCTCATTGTCCGTGTAGCGAAGACGGTGCTGGTCATAAATAAAATTTCAACGACAGTTTTTCCTCTTTGCCACGACCGTAGAACAGTCGTGCCCGAGAATAGGGTGAGAATAAACAACCCTTGTAACAACGGCCAGCGTCTTCCTCCTGGTAACTGTTATCCCTAAGCCTACAATTACACCGCATGCAAATTTACTCGGCCAACCATCTTGAACCTATTCTCTTTCATTTCACTCTCCAGTCACGAGTTCGTTTGAAAACGAAAGGAGCTCGCATCTTTCAACCTGAGAATTGTTTTACTAAATTTTCGCTAACAATAAGATATCGATTTAAATTTGCCACGATGGAAGTTTCGAGTATTCCAAGAAGATGTTGTAGGGGAATTCTTTTGGTAAACGCTCGCATTCCATAGTAAGGTCGTTTACGAGTCGATTAAAGCGAAACTCCGTGCTCGTTCGAGCAAGAAGAAAAAAGACTTTGGCAAAGGTCGAAGAAGCCCCAGTCTTTCGAAATTCCAAAGCTACAATCACAACAGTAAATAATGAAAACCTGGCTACGTGTATCGAGAATGTCGACCTTTCGATTTCATGAATTTCAAGGAGGAGAGAAACGAATGAATCGTGATAGAAGAATCAGAAAATCGAAAGAACTTGAGATATTGTGGAAGATATTCAACGAGCGCAGCACGGTGCACCGGAAGCGAAGAGGTGTCCAGCACACCCTCGAGAGTCGAGGACGCTATCAGTGACCAAAGGAATCGCACGAAACGTTAATAATTATCTAATAGCTTTAAAAAAGTTGTACGTTCGTTTTTTCACCGAAATATTCTTGTTGCTCCCGACATATTGAATTTCCATGGTGTTTGTTTCTTCGTCGATTCCATGAGCGATGTCATTGCGGTCAATCGACACTTTTCGAAACGCACATACACACACAAGAAGCTAAACAACCGTCGAATTCCGAGTAATATACCTCGATCGGAAAGTCGATAAATTCCTGAACGACGCTGCCTTTCGACAGAAACTCAAAAATCCAACGTCCTTACGATCCGGCTAATATTTTTATACCGTGACAAATGAAGAACGGTAAAAAAACATGTGATCGAATTGAAACCGCGAAACACAGAGAGATTGACAAAAAAGAAAGAAGAAAAAAACAAGAAAGAGATTGATGATCGATCGGCATTCGTTCCATTCTCGATCTTCCTTCGTCTCTTATCAATCTGAAGGTTCAGATAATTATCAAGCGACTCTGGTGATAAAACTTCATTCATAAGCACAAATATTATTCTAACGAAGAAATTTTTATTTCGAAATGGATGATGGAACGTTTCGCAATTTATTTTGATAAGATAATCGTTAAAAGAGAGGAAATATAACTTGGATATCATTTCAATTCCATCATCCATAGGTGACGATGCTCGTTAAAATATTCCGGTCCTTATTTATTAATAATCATCGGACCAACCTCGAGCCAGGAGTCTCCAGCTTCCTCCAGTTTCGCGAACTTCCTTCCGTTTGATCCCAAATAAAGTTCACACACATACACAAGTCGACGCACCAGAACACAGTAAGCACAAATGAGGGAACTCGCGATCGCACGAATTCTTATCGATTTCCAGGCTTGTTGAAGCCAAGAAGAAGAGGAACACCGAACGCGTGAAAATGTGACGGCAAAGAAAAACAGATGAACGTGTACGATAAGAGAAGCGGACGAACGTGTCTTCTTCTTCTTCTTCTTCTTCTCCTTCGACCCGGACTCGAGTACCGTGTGAATGCCCGAGGTCGACTGACAACGTCCTAGGACCCAAAGTGAAATACCGGCTTTATTTGTGGATTGAGTCGAGGGGCAGCTACCCTCTCCCTTCCGAGCAACCTCGTTTGTCCAATCGCAGCTAAGGACACATCCTCGGGATTCATAGAACGTTTTTGAATTATCCCTCCCATTCGGACGCCATTAGCTTTCGCGTGCGAAATATCCTAACGCTTTAAATGTTTCAACCAAAATACACCTTCCATTGCCGTTTATATTTCCATCTTCTACAATTCCATTTCTAATATTCACGTTTCATACTTAAATAGGCGAAATGGTAAAAATGGTAACAATTAAAATAGTATTGGCATGTTCAATTCATGTCCATACTTAAATAGGCGAAATGGTAAAAATGGTAACAATTGAAATAGTATTGGCATGTTCAATTTCATTGGAATTATTGTTTTTTTCATTTAATATGGTACTTTATTCTTCGTCGCGTTTAGATTTACCAAGAAACTAACAAGTTTAAAAATATGTACTAAAATAGTGAAAGGATCCTCTAATTAGAGATTTCTGAACTCGCACCCTTCTTCTTTTTCCGTCAAGGGCAGTCTGCTTTCTCTCCTCTTCAGACAGATCGCACCCTTTCCGAGTCTCTGAAAAACATCCAGCAAAACCATTAAGTCCTACCAAATGATCCTGTGTCGAAAATTACGGAAACTTTCAAGGTTTTCCATCTTTAACTCTTACTTTCTCGCTATTTTAGTAAATCGAAGAAAAAAGTGGGGGAGAGTGGAAGAAGAAAGAGGGAACAGTTCTTATAAAACTGTTAAAATTTGATGACTAACAGATTTTCTGAGTAACAACATGCAAAGCGTGTCGAGGATGGTTCTTAAAGTCCTTTCGACCAACAGGTACACAGAAGGGCACACTATAAATCGTCCTTTTAACCCTTTCGAACGTTGGGCGGGGGAGGAAAAAATCTCGAAGCCACCATAAAGGGTGCATCAAAAAATCCTCTTCAACCCTTTCTCTCTAATCTTCTTTCCCAACGAACGGAACCGTTTACGATGCTTTTACAGTTACGCTACTCTGACTGGAGAGGAAGAAACAAAAAAGGGAACAGGAGGAACGAGGATGCATGGATTTTCTAACTGTTCCTTCGTTTTCTTCCTACGGTTTAACCCTTTCACGATCTTACTTTTTTCCCGTTCAGGAAAAAAGCCTACTTTTTCCACGTAAAAGTTGGTCTTTCCTTTCTGATGGCCGACTGCGACGATTCGCTTAGAATATTTCTTCAGGCACAATTCAATTTAACGGATAAAAGAAAGGATTTCCTGGTCAACGCATTGAAAGCAACATTGAATATTTTCAATAACAAGTGTGAAAGAAAGGATTATAGAACAATCAGTGAAAAACGTCGATGAAGGTACGGGGGTGGATGGTTTCGGTCAAATATGGAGCGTGGCCGTAGGTAGGCTCTAGGGTGGTTGACCTGAACGGTCGGCCAACGGCCTGGTTAAGAAATCTAGAACTTTGGTAGGCTAATCGCGTTATTTATTGCCGTTATTGCTCCTCATCCGAGCCAGTGTTTACGCGTATTCGCTTTTCGTCATATTTATGAGGGCGGGGGAGAACGGTACGCTGCGGAACAATACGAAGGACGGTGTACTATAGGTCTACTCGCAAAGGGGTACGTCATATTCAAATGACTTTTCCTCGAATAGGTAAAAACCTCGAGAAACGTGATTTTATTTATTGCGTCCTTAGGTGCAATTTTCCAGGAAAATGGATTTACTTATACAGAAAACTGGGTCGTATTATGACTCGAGGGTTGGTGGTAATTTGCTGAATTTTTGCCAACTTCGCTCTTTAACTCTTGAACGGTGGTGGCTGGGTCAATTCTAACCCCGACCTATGAAACGTAACGTCTCTAAAGTTACGCATTGAAATTGGAAGAATTACATCTAAAGTAGAAACTTGGTTAATGTGTGGATCGTTTGAGAAATGATGGAATTGAAGAGCAGAATATTGCAATAGGTAATTGTACCGCGATTAGGGCGTAACCCGTTGAGCCGCAACGTGTACGAAGAAAACAATAGGGTCGCAGGTCTATAAGTGCAACCGTTACGGGAGGGTGAGATTATTTTTATTGTACCACCTTCCGACGAAGGTTCTAAGTGAATCTAATTGGATTGTCGCTATTCGGGCAATGAGAAAAAACCGCAACGGTTTACGAGACGCTAATAAGTAGACTTTAAGTCAATTTCAAAAGCAATCGCATCAACCAAACCCATTTAACTTTAATTATTCACAAACACTTTAAAAAACACTCCACCAAAAGCGTAAATATTGAATATTATTGATTTCAGAAGTAAGCTCATTAACTTTTGAATAATACGAACAATTATGGTTCGAGGGGAATGTTTGAGGAAACCCGTTAGTTCCTGGAATGGTAAAGGACAGGCCGCAATTACACCGATTTTGGCACATTTTGCTTGCACGTTTACAGGACACCGGGTCATCATTTTCGAAAATTTACGAGCCGAAAGTGCTAGTTTTTATTATCACTCCCTTGGCCGACGAAAGGTGTACTGTTACTTCGGTAACGGGGTTAAACGTTGAATAACTTTCCCTACTATTTTCCATCATTTCCCAAACACAATTATTGCAGGACTATTTTTTCAATAACCCTTCTTCTAATTGCAAATTTTTCTTCGGTACAATAATGGCAAACGGAAATTCGAAAATGTAACCCCGTGCAAAATTCTCGGTATAAAATCGTAGGTACGTTATTGTAACAATTGCAAAGCGAATTTATGGGTACCGTCTACCTGGATCGCCGGGATATTTTCCAGGGAAAAAATCCGATGCCTTTATTGGGACTGGTATAAATTAATCCTTTCCAGGAAAACAAGCAACGAAGTTAAGTACACGAAACTTTAATGCCTCTTTCATTTTAGTTTCCTTTATTCCAGTGGCACGGTTGCGGTAAATGAAGGACCGACATGTTTTTGATACAGTGACGATGCCGGCTGAAAAATATGAAACTCACTCAGTCTGGCTCGTTTTCCCGGATGAAGTGGAAATCGGGGAACAGACGCGTGTGCATTATTGAAAGTTTCCTATATTGTTATTTATCCGCGATGACTGGCAGGGGCGGAGGGTTACGGGACACGCGCTCCTCCCCTTCTTTCACTCCTTTTTCCACGAAACTCAAAACATTTTTCCTTCTTCTTTCTCTAACAATTCTTTGAAAAAAAAAAGTTATAAATTACTGTGATCTAAATTTTCAATGTTTTAACAGGGATATTTATGCAAAATATTCGACGAACGTAGGTAAATGCGACAGGAAACGCGCATCCCCTACCTGAGCGTGGGTGTGTCGAAGCTCGTTTAAACAGCTGCTCCGTAACCCCTTTCGCACCCCTCTCGAGACTCTCGAAATTTTCGCAGAAAAATATTTTCCCGTTCTGTTCCGCCCCGCAGCAGCCGTACGATAAATACGTCGCGTTTTCCCCTATTTCTCTGGAAAGAAAAATTTCCGTTCGCTCGATTGGAAATATCTTTGTGCCGTCGTACGTTAAACGTATCGTTTCTCTATAGTATTTTTCCAAACAACCGCGTACTTCGAGGGAAAAAAAGAAATTAGCGAAGGAACTCGAGGAATGTTAACGCGTGCACGGTTTTAATGAGTTTTAACTGGACGGTAAACGAGCTTAAAGATGCATAACGAGCCAGTTTTCGCGTTATCGCGATCGTACAATGATTTTCTTCGTTTCTTCGACAGCCCTTGACTCATCGATTCCCTTTCAACTAATGCTCTTTACTTTTTTATCACTGTCACGTTGACCTCTGATTCTTCATCGCTAAAACAATCCGCTTTCCTATCGACTTCGTTTCTTTACGGTAAACAAACGATTTTCCTTACGTTTCTTATGTCATCGATAGAAAAACTCGAATGATTCATTTCCAGTTTAAAAGCTATTTATCCCTTTTACTGCTAATTGCTTTTGGTTAATGAATCTTGCGTAACAGATAAACGGTAAAAATCTACAACAGTGGGTTAATTAGAAGAGCGTTAATTACTAAGACGGTACCTAAAAAGGTTGAAGGTAGAAATTTGAATTATAAAGAAAAGAGATTGACTCATCGGTTGAGATATTTTTAAGGGAACAAGGTGTTTTCCTTTTTCCTGCTCGCCAGACTTTCGGGGCTGAGCTATTATTTTTCCACTCTCAGGATTAGCCGCAAACCCACGAGACAATGGCTCGTTGTTATCGTGTTTGGACGTTGCTGTTTGCTTCGCCAACTTTTGAGAAGAAAACAACACAGAGTCATCGCTGCGTTTCTTTTTTTATGGAAATCCGTGTTGGAAAATCGGTTGAAAATTGAAAATGTAAAAAAGAGGAATCATAGGAGGGAATCGTTTATCGAGATTTCTTTTTAAGAATAGCCGAAAGTTTCGTAAGAAAGGTGAATGAGACGGAAGAGACTCGTGCCAGGAATTCTTGTTCCGGACAACGGTGCAGGGGTCCGAGAACTCGGTGAAATGAATAGAAAAAGAGCAGAACGTTGGCCAAGGATGTCGTGGGTCCATCGCGGCTGCAGCACAGCCTGCAACGCACAAATGGGCGCCCTCCTATAAGGACAAACAACTGACAGCTGACCCACGCT